GACCCTCTCCAATGTGTCCACATCCTTTCTATAGTGGGGGGCCCAGAACTGGACACAATATTCCAGATGTGGCCTCACCAGAGCCGAATAAAGGGGAATAATCACTTCTCTGGATCTGCTGGCAATGCTCCTCCTAATGCACCCTAATATGCCATTAGCCTTCTTGGCTACAAGGGCACACTGTTCACTTCCCATCCAACTTCTGGAACAGAGATAGATTAGAGACATGTTCTTGGCACAGTCTTTCTTAAACCAGTGTCCTAGCTACAGCTACAGACAATCTTCCAAACAGCTTGAGCTCCGGCTTTGTTGTGCTTGTTCACCAGGGACCACATCCCATCTGGACATAGCACAGCACAGACACCTAGAGACTGGGTAATCTACTGCAAGCAAACCTGGCATCACATACACCATGCCTCTCCCAGATCCAAACCCAGCTAAAGCTTTGCAGACGTCCAAATCCAGATCCAAACATGCGGCTGGCCCCTGCCTTGAAGATGGGTCCAAACAATGCCCCTTTTGTCTCCCAAACCCCACAGACCTCTGGGAACATTGGGACCCAGTTACCTGCTGCTTTTGAGGTTCCTCTTTTCCAATGCCCTGGCCAGAATGTAACGGCCATTTCCCTGATTATCCTCTGCGGCTGCCTGGCATTGCCACACGATTCCTCACCTTCCCCTCACTGGAGCCACATTTCAGGGAGAGCCTCACCTGTCCCCCATGGTCCTGCCCAGCTGAAAGCAGGGGGCGCGACCCAGCCACACAGAACATGAGCTCTCGAGGGGCCGAGGGGAATTCCATCCGTGCGCCGGAGAGAAAAAGGCAAATGAAGCAATTGTTAGAATTCAATTCCCCTGGCGTCAGTGTCGCTCACACCCAGCACATCAGTCCCAGGACAGGAAACTGAGGTCACAACCCGATGTGGGGTTCAACAGCAGATCTGGGGAGCCCCAAGTGCGGAGCTCTCTTTCTTTGAGCTCAGCTGTTAGCTGCCAGCCAGAACAGGGTCTAGTGCTCCGTACGACTTCCAGCCGCCCTGCGTCTCCTGCCAGGACCCGGCTCGCTCTGCCCAGCCTGCACTGGCTCCTCCCTGTCCCCGTCCGACAGTCTCACCACAGCAGGCGCAAGAGCATTCTCCATGGCAGCTCTCCACCCCGCAGCCCCTCAGCTCTGTCTGAGCTCATCTCTCTGCCCCGAGCATCTCTCCTCTTCACCGCGTTGACTCACTAACTCTACGGAGCCTCTTGGGTAACAGTCTCGACCATACCCGGCTGGCAGAGGTTTGATCCCGCTGGGTTCAGGGAAACAGAACTCGATGTCAATCGGGAGGCGTGCACCAAGGAACACCCAATTCCGCCTTCCCTTTCTCTGCCTTCCAGAAACAACCTGCCAGACCCACAATGTCTGACCAAGCGCAGGGGTGGGAAGGGGTAACTGCAGCAGGTCTGCCTTCCCGGTATGCCGGCTGCACTCACAGCAGCGCCCTCCCAGTGATCAGGGGGGCGAGCAGGAGCCGTAGGTAGGGACAGTGAGCCTGAAGGGCTGCCGTGGGCCCCCAGACCTGCGGGGTCATGAGGCCCGAAGAGCTCAGCTCACCCCACCCATCACCTTGGAACCGGCCCCTGCTGCAGGCGTGCCCAGGCAGGAGGGTGTTGGGAGACTCAGACCGGTATCAAGAGCCCCCTGGTATCGGGTAGCGTCCGAGCGGGATCCGGTTAGGACATGAGCATTTACACACAGAGGGGCATTTGCTGACCCCCGGCCCACAGCTGGGGAAGCCTGTGGCCGCCTCCTCGCTCCGCTTTGGGAGCTCCGCTGCTCTTCAGCCGCACTGCACCTCCCCTTGCTGCCCATTCCCCGCCGTCACGCGCGTTCCCGTCAGGCTCGGCGCTGGGGGCGACTGTACCGGGAAGGGGCTTGGCGCCTGTTGGTCGGGGAGAGCCCGTGCGAGTGTCTGGAACAAGGCTGGGAGAGCCCAGCGCCCGCCCTAGCTCTCTGGGATGTGCCC